AAAAAATCAAATTTGCTTCAACCTTTATGATCGAAACCCAAATTTTGGGTTCCCAAAACTTTTCCAAACCGGGGGAAAAAGTAAATATACATTTTTTAAAAATTTTTTAGCAAATGAGCCCAAAAAAATAGAAAAAATAGGATCGGGAAAAATTTAAAAAGAGAAAAAGCGCAAGGGGAATTAAAATTTGAAAAACCAAAAGGGAAAAAAAAAAAACGAAATTTGGGGGGAAATCCGGTAAAAAGCTGGGTCGCAACAAGGGAAAAATTTTTTTTAAAGCGCCTTTTTTCTTTTTTAATGGGGGAAAAGTGATGGGCTTTTAAAAAAAGATGGAAAAATTTTAAAAAAAATCCCGAAAAATTTTTTAAAAAAAATAAAATCCCTTAAAAATTTGGGGCAAGTTTTTAAAAATTTTAAAAAGGAAAAAAAAAAGTAGGATAGGGAAAAAATTAAAAAAATTTTTTTTTTTTAAAAACTTTAACCCTTTTAAATTTTTTAAAATTAAAGATTTCTGCTCCATTGGGGCCCGGGAAAAAGGTTTTTTGTTAAAAATATTTTATTAAGATTATTTTAATTTGTATATTCATGGTTTACGGGGTGGGCTTTTAAATTTTTTTATAGTCCCCCGAAAAGCAGTTTTCCTTAAAAATTAAAAAACTTTTTGTATTTTCCCGACAAATGGGGTATTTAAAATGAAACAAAAATTTTCAAATTTTTTGGTTTTTTTTTTGTATTTTTTTATTTCTGAAAAAACGTGCATTTGTTTGTCCCTTTAAAAAATAATGAAAAAAGGGGTAAAAATTTAAAATTTTGGAAAATAAATTTTAAAAATTTAAAAAGCCCTAAAATTTAAAAACCAAAGGTTTTAATTTTTAAAAGGTGTTTTTCATTACCCGGGTTGTGGAAAAATGCGGACTTTCGCCAAAACTGTGCGTCTTTTCAAATTTTAAAAAAGGGAAGACTGGTTTTTGTGAAATTTTTTCTTCCGGCCCGAAAAAAGGGGAATTTGGGAAAATTAAGGTTGTTTATTCATTCCTGCCCTCGGGAAAAACGATTAAAAAAGGTAATTTTCTTTTAAATTTCCCAAAAATGTTTTCCCTTTTTTTTTTGGGAGAAATTTTATAAATAAACCAAACTTTTTTAAAATTTTTTTGGTTTTAAATTTTTTGGAAAATTTTGTTAAAATTTTTCAAATTTAAAAAGAATGTTTTTTTTGTGTTTTTTCCAAAAAAAGCCTTTTTTAAATTCATTTTTTTAAAATTTTAAAATTTTTAATTTTTTAAAACTTAAAAAATTTTTTAAAACCCCCAAATTTAAAAAAATTAAAATAAATAAAAAAAAAACAGCTTTTTTGAAAATTTTTTAAAGATTTAAAAAAAAATAAAACAACAGCAGCCAGGAACACAAAAATAAAACCCCCCAAAACAAAAAACAACAAAACCCAAAAAAGTCTTTTCAAAAGTTAAGAAAGGCCTCCAAAAAGTGAGATTATGATGTGTAAGTTTGGGTTTATTTTAAAAAACCCATTAAAAAGGGTTTAACTTAAAAACAATTTTTTTTACAAAAGATAAAAAACGCCCTTTTTTTGCCAACCTTCTCATAAATTTGGAAATTTTTTCTTGGCGAAAAGTAAAACTTCTCGTCTTTTTGTAAAAATTCGTCTTTTGGGAAAAAAACTCCCAAATAAAAAACTTCAAAAATTTTTGAAAAAAAAGTGTCCCAAAAATGTCAAAAAAAAGTTCTTTTTCTTTGTGGAAAAAAAAAAAAAACAATTTTTTTTGTGTTAAAAAACATTTTTAAACAAAAACGAAACAAAAAAACCGCCCTCTTACAAATATGGTTTGCACTAAAAAGAGGCCATTTTAACGTTTCCGGGATGTTTCAAATATACTTTTTGGTTTTTATATATTGTTATAAAGAATTTTGGGCATAATGTTTAAATTTTTTTTATGCTTTGATTGTGTACTTTCCCAATGTTTAAAAACTTTTGAAAAAATCTTCCTCTGGATAAAAAAGGGAAAGGGTTTTAGTGGGTGCAAAAAATCTTTTTTTTTTTTTCGGAATCAAAGACCTTGGGATTTAAAAAGATTGCCTTATTACTTGGTTCCTTCCATGAAAATTTTAAACGATCAATTTGTAAATATTCTTGTCATTGTTTTACGGGTTAAAAACCCTTTTTGTAAACCCGGTTTGGTTTTTTTTTAGATGTCTGTGTTTTTGTTTTATTTTTTACCCGCAAAGAAAAACAAAACGGTTTTTTCAATCGTCTTGCCCTCTTTTCAATGATTATAAGAACTGCCTTTTTTACCTTTTTTTTTTTAGACAAAAGTTTTTTTTTGGGAGAGTTAATTTTTTTTGGAAGTTTTGTTACCCAAAAATTTGGTTTTTTTTTAATTTTAACCCTTTTATTTGTAATTTAAAATTATCTTTTTTTTTTCTTTTGGATCAAAAGTTAGTGGATTACCTTTCCCAATTTCTTTTCTTTTTTTCATTTGTTTAGTTTATCTTTAAATAATTTATTTTTTGTTCGAAAAGTGTCGGAAAATTTAATTTAAAAGTTTTTTGAAACCTTTCCCAATTTGTTTCCCGGACCCAACCCGTACCAAGCAAAAGAAATGTAAAGTTTCCCTTTCTCAAAGAAAAAAAATTTGCCTACGGGTTTGAAATTTTCATTAGACCACAAACCCCTTACTAGGTTCCCCATACCAAAAAAATCAACCTGTCTTTATTATTTTTCGTGTTTTTTTTGTAATAATCAACCCTTTTAAACATTCCCAAAAAAAAAATAAAGAAAAAAGGGTTTTCCCCCTTTCCCCCCCCAAAAAAGAAAAAAAAAAAGAAATAAGGTGATAATAAATATTTTTAAAAAAAAATGACAAAAAACAGTAGCGAGTGAAAGGGGAAAAAAAAACAACAATCCCCTGTTGTAATTCACTTTTTTTCTTATTAAAGAAATTTTTTATTATATACCTGTAAAGTTTTTTTTTTACATTTTTTTTGCATGTAAACTACATTACACGTTATTGTTTTTTACATTCATGTGTTAAGGGAAAACGACCCAAAGGGGTTTAATGAAAGGGTTTTTACAATTGATCTTATTTACCCGTGCCAGTAGCAAAAAAAACCCCATCGAGTCAAATACAAGTTCCAGATCAAAGAATTTTCTTATCCAAAAACCCTATCATTATATTCCGTTAAAAAGCCCTTAAAGTAGTAAATTAGGTAATTTGGGTTTTAAAACCCCTGTAATGCAAAATTTTTAATAAAAACATAAAAAAATAATTTTTTTTTTTCAAAACTTTTGTTTTTTTTCAGAAAAAATTTTGTTGCTTTTTGTTTTGCCTTTTGTTAAAAGTTCCCTTTAAAACCCGCGTAAAAAAACGTCAGTTTTATAACGTTGTATTGACGTCGTTACCATGTAACTATGTAAAACATGTAACTTAACATTTCAGCTAAAATTTTAACTAATTTTTTTTGGCTTTTTTTCCCCAAAAAAAGAAAGTGACGCCCCATGCTTAAACAACGTTTAAAAATTTTTTTCTCGCAATAAAAATTAAAATTTTCAAGGTTCAGGCCCCAATTTTTTCGATATAACCCTTTATTTATAGGTTTAACCCTAACAAAACCCAAAACAATTTAATTTTTTTAACATTCACAACGTAATTATACATTAAAGAAAAATGTTCTTTGTCTTAATTTTAAAAATGGGATGATTAGTCCGGGGAATTTTTTTTTCTTTAAAGGAATGTAAATGGATAAATTGTTAAGAAAAGCAAATGGGAATCTATAAAGGGGGGCAAAAAACGGGGGGAAAAAAAATGAAAAAAGCTGCCGGAAATGAGTTTGATTTTTATCTGTTTTGGGGCATTGTTTAAAAGCAAGGTACCACCAAACCCCAAGCTCCGGCTTAAAAAACCAAATTGGGTTTTCCCAAAATGATCAGCAGTTAAATTTTAAATGGCAAGCAAAATTTTTTCCGTTTTTTTGGAAAAGTCCCTTGAAAATTAAAATCTATGGAAAAAATAAGAAAAAATTCAATAATTTTAAGAAAATAAATTTAAAAATTTGCAAATACCTTTAACCCCTCAACTTTTTTAATTTTTTTTTAAAACCGGAATTTGGAAGGGGGCCCCTTTTTGAAATTTCCAAAAAATTTACAAATTTGCAAAATTTTTTTCATTAATAAAGGAAATTTTAAAAAATTTAATTTTAAAAAAAGAATTAGATTTGTTTTTAAAATTTTTTTAGTGTCTTACTTTTCCCTTTTTTTTTCTTTTTTTTCTTAACCCTTTTCAAAAAAGTTACATTCCCCTTTTTTCTTGGCTTAGGGGGGTTTTTGTTCAAACCCCAAAGAATGGCCAAATCGCCCCTTTGGAACCCCAAGGGAAAGTAATTTAAAAGTTAGGGGCCCAAAAATTATTTTTTTAAACAAAACCCACGGAAAAAATTTTTGGGGAAAAAAGGGTTTTTTCCTTTAAGGCCAAAAACAAAAAAAACGAAAAGGATATAAGGGAAAAAGGTTTTTTAAAAAAAATAAAAATTTTTTTTTAATTTAACAAAACCCAATTTAGTTCAGGTTTTAATGAAAGTTGGGGAAAAATCGGGGTTTTTACATTTTTTTTAATTTTTTTAAAAAAATTAAAAAGTGGAGTTTCTCTCCTGGACTTTTTTCCATAGGGTAAAAACTAAAAAGAAAAACATAATCAATTTACCGAAAATAGTAACTTTATCAATTTGAATATATCTTTCAATCGCATCAGACTTTATCATACTGACCATGGGATTGGATTCTGTGTCCGCTTTCGATACATGCAAAGAAGTCACATTTATAACAAACCCTCTGCCGTCATACATGAAAGGAAAAGTCAAGATAAGATTATTAGATTGTCTATACATATTTTGTTTCAGCTCAGTCATTATCTCTTTCTTGTTTGTTTTCTTTTTCTTTCAATAAATCATTTTCAAAAGAAAATTACATATTCTCTCTCTCTTTGCTTTAGGATCCTTGTGCAAACCAAGACTGCTCAAATGAACGAGCTTGTGATACTTCCACAGGGACATGCATGTACAAAGGTCAGTACCAAATATTTAGCTAGAACACACACAACGGATATTATTAGAAAGGGTTTTCTAGCAACACTTTCTTCATAAAGTATATCAGTTAAATAGTGGATATTTAATGAGTGTAGTTTAATACCAAATTTCAACGAGTTGCGCCTATACTCGTAGTGTAACGCTAACATTAGCGTGCTTTAACGCTATATTTCTATATAGCGCAAATGACGTCACGTCAAAGTGTTATTACACTAGTGTAATATTATCGTTTTTATTAAATGGCTTTATTACACTCCCGCGCCGCGTTTTATGTGATAAAGGTTTTTACGATAATAAACATTTTTTGAGATATTTGACAATACCTACATCTTATTTAAGGATTTATGATGTAGAATCTATTGAATGACTGGACCAGTTCATACACTTTATATCTTTATTTATTATATATTATGTGGATTGTTTTCTCTCCTAGGACTGTATTTCATTACAACTGATTGTCACTGAACATTCAGTGGTGTCAAATCTGACTTTGAATATAATTTTCAGTCTGGAATGATTTAAAAAAAATCTTTTATCTTCTTTTAGAACAACTCTTTTTTCTTTAAAGTTTTCCTACCATTATGCAAACATGTGCCCACAATGGGTTCTCTATAAGCAGTTAAAAGCGCTTTATGTCAAGGTTGCAAAGGTTTTTTTGTTTAACGTTGTGAAAAAATATCAAACGTCTGTGTACATTACGACTGCCATCAATAATTATAAAATTACTCAAGTAATGCCAATAATATTGAAATATCAAAATCAATTGAAGTTTCAAAATATCATTTTATGAAGTTCTTTTTGTTCACTCCCCTACAAAATATGCTCATAATTAGCTGAAAATGGTAAGCAAATAACCTGGTACTAGTTGACACGATAGTGATAAAGGTTAGTCGTATATACCTTTTTTGCTCTAATGGTGAATTAACAGTCTATTTTCAATCCTTACAAACAAATTATACCAATATATTCTTCATATTTAAATTAACGTCATCGTGTTAAATGACTGTCTGAGGACAATTGATTTCTAGTAGTTTCATTACTATTACAACTTGTTTCATGTATATGGCACCAGAATGTGTGGATGATGTGGTTTTGTTGAACGGGGAAATTCTTGGAAATATGAAACAAGTTGGCGGAAAGATAAAATATATCTGTAACAGCGGACTGAATGTACGAGATAACAAGGAAAACGCTGAATGTTTGGCGAATGGTCAGTGGAGCCAGACAGCAGAATGTATATCAGGTAACAGCATCTAAAAATCAGGGTAAAAGTATAAAACATCAATTCCCAAATAAAGCAGCTCAATTAAAGAAGCTCCAAAAGTCTAAAATAATAAGATTTGAAAACCTTACATAGATCAACTGGGGCACTTTAAACGGACACGTATAATATAGCAATATATTCAAAATTAAATAAAAAACGATATTTGATTCTTTATCCATTTCTACGTTAGTAAAAGAGCATTGAACCCTATAGAGTAGTTGATTCATGATATGTTATGTAATTTATTTATCCTTGTTTTTAACAAAGGTTGCGGCGAAGTACCAACCATAAGCAATGGATATATTATCATAGACACAGTGGACATAAACAAGGCGTTAATAACCTGTGATCCAGGGTACCAGGCGAATCCGTCTAGTACGATCTTCTGTGTACAGGGGTCCAGCACCTGGGGAGGCCCGTCGTGTGAAACTATTGGTACTGTAACTACCTCATATTTTCTCTGTATACGATCGTCATTTATATAAAAAGCGTCATTTTGATAAAAATAAATCAAACATCCCCTTCTATTAAAAATGTATTAGGGCTACATAGAACTCATGATAAAGACAAATCCTTTATTCGAAAACATGCTTTAATATGATCAATAAGTTTGCTAACTTTGGAAAAGAAACACTTTTAATATTACATTTTATCCTTCCTCCTAGTGATTATTGATAAAACAGCAATCAAACTATATGCGTGTTGCGTGTTATTTCCTATTCCTATTTCCGTGTCTTTTTCAGTTTGTGGCAATCCTGATCCAATAAGCAATGGTAACATTGCACTCACTGTACCTGGCAGCTATAATTATCTAGATACAGCAGACGTGACTTGCTCATCCGGGTACCAGGCAAATGTAAATCTAATAACTTGCAAAATTGACGGGGACTGGGAAACAGCAAGTTGTGATCGTATATGTAAGCAAGTTCATTCGTATTTGTAGTTTTTATGTAACCAAATAACGTCCTTCTTCTGTTCTGAAATCATGGTTCGAGAATTGATAAAACCTAGCACTGTGTACATCAATATTCGTTTATTTAGTCATATTGTCAACACCTGTAAAAATTTAGTTTTTAGTTTGAGGTTATGAATGTAAAATATAAAAAATGTTTCTGATGATGTAATTGAAGTTTGATTCACGGAACCAAGAGAATTTACCTGAAAACTCATCTCTTTTGCAAACTTTTATTTAGGTACAAGTCGAGTGTTTGGATGAACATATGTTCATGGATGTTTACGTTCGATTCTAAACAAATCATTGATTAAGAATATCATGTATACATGCCGATTAATTTAAAATGTTTGTGTGAAATGGATATCTTATATTTCGACAATAAGTTTCAAATAGAAAGATATGATACGTTATTTAATGTTCAAAAGCTGTTAGTTATCTAATTTCTTCAATTTCCAATCAACATCCCAAATATGGATATACATGTATGTTTTGCATGGTCTTTAAATATCAATCTAACCCTTACCACTGTTTAATTTGATAAGTTAAGTTATATATTTCAAAAGCGTGCGGAAGTCTGCCGACTATAGCACATGGAGTCGCTAGTCTATCTGTACCGGGAGCAAGCCAGTACCAGGATACTGCTGTAGTCACGTGTGATGCCTGGTTCCAAACAAGCACTAGTCTAATTACATGTACAGCGTCTGGAAGCTGGACTTCAGCAAGTTGTACTGGTTTGTTTATTTTTTTAACCTTTAAAATGACATACATAATGAATGTTGACGAATTGTGAAAGAAATGACATTTTGTACAGTTACTGTCTTATTAATGAATTGAGCAAAGCAATTGCTTTTAGTTTGTTTTAATTGGTTTTACGGCACAGCAACACAATTTTGGTCGTATGTCTCGAAAATATGATTTTGGCTTACCTCGGGTATTACAAACTTAATACTAAGTGTCAAAACCACCTCACCAGCAGGAGGTAAAAGATTTATAGAATCCAGTAATTCGAACCCATTGGGTCACGCACGGATAAACGGTGGCTGCAATTCTAATGACTCAACACTTCCAAAAGGCAACCCCTCAGAGAAGCGACTTAATCATTGCATTATGTAAAGTAAAACATATAAAAACACTCTTTTAAGACGTGCCTTACGTTTTCGTTTCCCTTATATATCAAATTATTACCTATAGATGAACTACTCACTGTGTAATTTTCTGTAATGTAACTATTCATTTTATGTAATGCTATGGTTTCAAGACGATAATGACATCAATAGAAATATACGTACAAACCTTCGGATATTATTGTTTTCCAGGTAGTTAAGCTTTTATATAAGTATTTTGTGAAAACTGATAAATTCAAGCAGTTTACATTAATCTAAATATCTGATTGAAGAAATGTTCACATAAAAATCATACAAATAAATGATCTTTTTTATATATATACATAGATTCAAGATTATTCGGAGAGCAGCTCAAATTTGATTTAAAGCTTTCATAAGAATCAAAATTAAAGAAACATCTGAGCTTTTCAATGTTACCACATCAGATTTATATTTTACAGATGTTATGTGCTACACAGGTACACCTTGGCAGTATCAAGGACAAGTAAGTGTTACGTTTTCCGGTAGAACGTGTCAGCGATGGGATACAAACACACCGCATCAAGTATTGGAAACATATCTTCAATATTTTCAAGGGAACACACTGTCAGAGGCCAGTAATTTTTGTAGAAATCCGGCAGCAGGATCAGACAATCCATGGTGTTACACAACAGATCCATCGGTAACATGGGAATATTGCGCTGTGGTTCCTTGTTAAATTAATGGTCTTAAAAAGCACATGAAGCCACAGATATGATTACGCTTTTCTTTCTTCTGAGGAAAAAGAAAATAAATTGTTTTCAATTATTCTCAATTTTTTAGTACTATAGATTAAGAACCAGTTTGATGATTAAACGCTTAAAAAAGAATTCGATGTCAAATTATTCGTCATAAATTATAGTAATTTAACCATTGCTTATCATTTCGAAAATGGAGCGGGACATTACAAAAAAAGCTTTAAAAAAAACACAACTAAAAATGTCATGGGGGGCTTGATTGGCATTTAAATGTTTTATGTTGGCTTTTCCAAATGATCCAAACAGGTATATGTGTCATTTTTCAGTTTGTTTTATTATTCCAATTCCAGAATGACATGATAAATGTAATTACATTGCGAAAATTAACAATGACATAGAAAGTTAACACAGATCTATAAATAACATTTTCATATAATTTTACTTTAGAAGCACATTGTCGAATCTACCATTTACTTTCAATGATTGTGATATATTAAATGTTGAAATCTATGTGTTTTCTCTTCTTAACATTGAAGAAAGTTTGATTGTTGACATTTCATTTTATTACTTAGACCAGTTATTTCCCTTTCATGTTTAAACGCCGTGACAAGTTTTCTTCTTTAAAAAGGCGCATGCGAGAGGTCTTTTTGCTGCTGTAGAAGATTTGTTAAATTCGAAAATATTTGGGGATATTTTGGCATAAACGACATAATGAATGGTTTTAAATGGTTATAAATTACAATTATTTAACAAAATAGAATTTATTATTATATATTGAATATAGTATCATAATGAAAATTTTATTTACACTTCATTTTTTTTTTCAAGAATGTTTTGAATGATTATATGACATTTTTTCTTGGCGCATTTGGGGTACTTTTTCTAAAAGGGAACAATTTATGTTATGTCATCAAACTAAATTTAAAATAATTGATATACACATGTATATATATTAAAAGAAGTATCAAAATAAAAGTTTTTAATAGAATTCAATAAGCACATTTTCGGTTAATGTTTTGGTAAGTATATGAAAACATTTCCTATACATTTTCCAAATCGGGCATAAAGTTAGTTAATCAAACAATTTAAATCCCATATTACATAAAAAATGTTTATAATATTTGATTGGAATATAAAGCTGTATGCCTCCAACCACAATATTTGAGGAAAATCTTGAGTAATTTTTGCGCCAAAAATCTCCGTTGCGTTATTCAGTCATACCGGTTCAAACATTTACGGAGTAGCACAATTTTGGTACACGGTTCACTCGGTCATATAATAGTGCATGGTGATATTGTACCACTAATGTTCACTGTTACTATTTATCGGAACATGAATAAGTAAAACGCTATTTAGAAAACAATACGATAATCGATTTAAACAATATAAAAGATTAAAACGGAATGAAACATACACATAGCGCTAAGTAACGTAAATGATATTTTCCGATTTTTCTATGTACCGATTTGTTCACTTAGGTGTTAATGTTTCTTTTAAGTTAAGTTTTTTTGAAACGGAGCATGCGCAAAAAATATTTGTAGACTGCTCCTAATGATTTTACGCTTTAAATGAGATTCGTTCACTACAATCAGATACGCGAAAATGGATGCCGCCAGCAATCAGTTTGAACACTGTGGAGAGGTCTGATGACCTCTCCAATAACGTTCAATTTATATTAATCCTTTTGTAACAGTCCATCTAAGGATTTTCAATATCAAAATACAAAGTATTGAGCTCCCAGTGGCCGAAGAAGAGCCTGATCAAACTGCACACAAAGGCATTCTGTATCAATTGGTACTTTTCTGGAAGCAAAGCTTTACACACTCGGTTCCAGCTAGTAAAAGTTTAAGATTAATTATTATAAATGATAAAGTAACAAGACCGAATATCGGGTTTGTAAATGCTTGTTTTGAAAATGATGATACCATAAACTGCATTAAGGGTAATGTTTTTTTTCTTTTTACACAAAAGGATTTCAAGCCGTAGGCCGGACATATATTACGAGGTCTCAAACACCACCTTAAACCAAAACCAAAACAAACAAACAGTTTTGCGTTGACGAGGCGCATTTATTTAGGTAACATGGAAGCAGTTTATGCAGTAATACAAAATCTTTTAATTTTATTTTTGTTTAACAAAATGCATTGATATTGCAATAAAACTAAATTCATTCGTAATGATGAAATATTATGTTATCTGCTACTTGTGAACTATACATGTATATATAAACTTGAATTAACTGTGGGGAAACATGTCCCATACAATAGTAAAAGAGTAATGTCATATAGATTTACATGTATCAGCTATTACCTTTTGGAATACACATCACAATCAATAGTTATTATATTATAATTGTAGCTTGTAAACATTCTAACAGAATTAACAAAATATCATCGACTGTCTATTTGTCATCGGAGTACTGGCCGCCCACGAAAAACCCCCGTCGCCGTTTTTTTTTTGGCGAGAGGAAACGTGTATCCGTAGCATGCACGAAATATACCGGTAATCGGCACATTTCTCAAACTATTCCTCGAAATATTGGACTTAACGGAATTCTGTCCAGACGTGCTATCTCTATTTTTTCAAAGAAAAAACTCAGAAATATAAACTTTCACAAAATAAATAATTGAATTAGAATGTAAGATGTTACCCGTAAGAAAAACCTCGTAGAAGTGACCAATATATCACATAACTAGTTATTTATAGACCTAATAACAGACAAAACCGGTTTTGGTCACGCTATGTTGAGACAATATTTCTCCGCTATACGATGTTACGCGGAGAACTATATTACTTGTTATACGCAAGAACATTGAAGGTTTCTTTGCTCGGCGGCGTTGTTTCAAATGATTTTTTAATATTATTTATATTTTATATACTAGTATATTGATGATTGTTGTAATCGACGTATTGTAAATTTCTTACATTTTGTTGTAAAGTTATGAATTATTTATTTGCGTGAAGTACAAAAGAAGAAAACAGACTTCGAGGTGTTATATTTTTCATATGAGGACATTCTTTAATTTACTATGTCTCGCTACAAAATGACAAGATTTAAGTTGTATCATCTTTTGAAAGTTGTACATTTGTTAGCTGGAACATAATAAATTTATGTTAGAGATGCCAGATATGTTAACTGCTACCGATGCTGCTAATGAAAGAAGGAAATTAAGTATTAATCTTCTAAATTTGTATAATGGATATGCCCTGTAGTCCATTTAAAAATTAAGGGATTCAAAGAGTTGCAAACAGAATAAAGCCTGATCAGGTTGTAAGGATGTTCAGACTGACATCTATCCTGGTGACAATGTCAATGCACCTTTGGCTTCATAAGATAAGGGCTAAAAGACACAAATACTGTTATCTTTAATCCTGCAATTATCATAACACTTCTAAAAAAACACTGACCGGTTTTATTAGCAGTTCTAAATAGATTGAAATGCCCCTATCAATATGCCAGTGACTTGACCTTGGCATGTTTAGTTTAGAAAGATTACATATATAAAAAAAATTGATTATTTGAAAAAAAAGAGTTCCAGCTTTATCAATTTGAAATAGATAAATTGTATAAGCAAAACACCAGGAACATTTAAACAGGTATACACCTCCGTCCAATTTGATCAACGTTCATTTTGTATTATCTTTTACAATTGTGGTATATTTTGTTTTTTATAACATTGCGATAATACTGTGCATATATCTTTTTATTTATATTTTTTGTTATTTTATTACAGTAGTGTAATGAAAACGTGTAAAAATAACTAATTTGAAATAAAATTGAAATAAATAATGCTTGTGCTAAAAAAAATAGTTGGATTTTATCTGTAACATCCTAGAAAAATGAGATCCTTGCCAAATCAATTTAAGATCTTTTAAAGAAATAATAATCTGGATCTGAATTGTGAAGCCAAATTCTATCCTTGAATATAAAATGGCAGATAGATTGTCATTAATATATAGCAAACACAAAAAAGGAGATTTTTAACAAACATGATTTAACTTGTTTCTGTTTTCATGCTTTTCGGAGACAATCCCTTTCAGGAACTTACGACACTCCCTTGCGCACCGGTCGAATGTTTCCCTGCAGTAAGGATAGGGTATACAATAAGCTGCTAAGGGAGCGCAAAATTGCGACCATAAACAAATTGTTCTAATCTGCATCTCATTGTTGTTATAATGTGCTTCGGCATTATTTATGGCTATACTATTAGAGATCATGTTTCTCAATTATTGATGGTTTTACATCCTAAGTATAATGCTCAAATGAAGATTTATCAATACATGTATTGTAAGTTCCAAAAAGAATTATTTGAAAAGATATTACCAAATTAACATTTCGTGATAGCAAAGGGAGGTAATTATTTTCTAGAAATTCTAAGTAATTTTTTGAATAAGAAATGAATGCTTATATTTTAATGATTACATATAATGGGCACAAATGTTTGCAGTACATATTTTACATATTCTTTGGTGTTTGAAAATTGTTTGAGAAGCATAATTATATACAAATATAAAATTTCACTGAAGTGTGGTAACAACCTAAATAATTACAGCATACAGAATCTTTATATTGGAGATATAACTATTGATTTGACTTCATTTATCTGAAGGGATCTCCCCTTTACGCAATGGGAATATTAAATTTATGATCCTTCATTATTTTATGAGATATTCGTCATGCTATAAAGGTTAACATAATATGTTATAGTAATATACAAATATATATTACATGTAATATAAAATATATGTGTAAATCAAAGAATGCTAGTTTGACCCTTAACCTATTCAATGTTTTCATTTAACTTATTTTGAACCGTCTATTTACACTTTTAGAGATCTGAAGATGAACATTTGAAGTCAGGTAACTAATTAATGAGGGCTGGTTAGACTACATCCATCTGCACATTGACTTTGCTCGATTGCAAATGCTCATTACTTTTATTTCCACCTGGGTACGATACAAGAAAACATATCCTTACTGATAAGTAGTTAACATACAACCAAAATAAAAAATATGTTTAGGGTAAGATCTAGGTATAGAAATGGTCTAGAATACACTAAAACACATATTTGAAAAATCGGTTGTTGCGTGCTAGCATTTTGTTTTAGTGTTACATTTCTGTCTTTTTTGCAGATTTGCTCTTCTTAACGCGTCAGATCAAATACATATATATGTTTTTTAAGCCAAGTATTTCTACAGCATTCTTGTTGGCTTTAATCCTTATCCTGCTTGAACAGAAGGTGATTAGTCACTTTCCCTCTGTATAGACAGACCCATGTAGACCAGGCTATATTTTGCTGGTAGGTAAGTTTTTTTTGTAATACTGAGACCACTTAGACGGACTTCTAAAAAATCGTAGACATAGCAATTCCAAAACATTGAGGAAAAGGGGTGATCTTCCTAAGGTAATGAAAACAACAATATAAAATAAAAATTACACCGATATAATATTAAAATTTCAAACTCGGTTTGATTAAGTCTGTTATGAAAGATAATGTA